GTCGTAATTGTCATATACCAGTAGTGAGCAAGCCAGGATATAATGGCTGTAGACTGTGAGGATTCCCAATCTTGCGAAGATGGGTTTACAGTGGGCAATGCGGTCACTAAAAGTAATGAGTCTTACAGCACGTTTTTGCAGCACTAAGATGTCCTCAACATCCGCAGCATGGCCCCATAGCAGTAGGCCATAGCTCACATGGCAGTGGAACATAGCATGGTAGATGTTCAGCAGGTGGCTGAGTGATGAAATTTCGTAGCTTGAGCAGCAGGCAACATACCCTAAAAAGTTTGCTACTAACTTTGCTGATGTGATCGTTCCACGCCAACTTCCTATCCAGATGAAATCCCAGGAGCTTCACTGGCTCGTCCCGTGGGGCATTTCTCGCCAGACTGCAGACCAGTGCCTGGGTTTTATCCTGGTTGAGCTGGAAACCATTTCCTTCAAACCAGCGGGATACTTCAGTGAGATGCCGGTTTGCATCCGCTGTGGACAGCTCAACTTGGGGTCCCCGTGATATCAGGGTTGTATCGTCGGCAAAGAGCACCACCCCTCCATCTCTATCAAGGTCGTTGATCATTACAAGGAATAGTAACGGGCCTACAATCGATCCCTGAGGAACACCGTACCTGACACTTTTGGGCTTAGATGTTGCACCCTCAACGGAGACCACCTGCTGTCTTCCCGCCAGATAGGAGTCGATCATCCTCAGTGCCACGCTACCTACTCCTAAACTCCTCAACTTTCCATTCAGAAGATCATGATTGACACAGTCAAAAGCACGACTCAAGTCACACATTGTGAGAGTCACTGTATCGCCAGCCTCGAAGGCTTCACCAACCAAGTCAGCCAACCTCTTAATTGCTCCAGTGGTGGACCTACCTTTCCTGAAGCCGTACTGCCTATCTGATATCAAACTGTTTGTCTCCAAGTACTGAGTCAGTTGTGATGATATTACGGCTTCAATGACTTTGCCCAGAACCGGCACTATGGAGACAGGCCTATAACTAGTAAGGACGTCTCGATCTCCCTTTTTGTACACTGGCACAGTCCTAGAGGTCTTGAGGCATTGGGGAAAAACACCATTTTTCAGGGAACTATTTATAACAATGGCCAGAGGAGCAGATATAACATCTATAACCTTCTTCAACCAGGATGCCGACATTCCATAAAAATCTGGACTATTTGAGTTCTTAAATTTAGCGACAATACACAAAATCTCTGCTGAAGAGGTAGGTTGACTGTGATGCAGGGCAGAAGTGTGCAATCCCCCCCCGGCCACCTGCTGGATGTCTCTGACAGGCCCAAGGTTAGTGACAATGTCGTTCACTGACTCAATAAAATAATCATTGAAGTCATCAGGGCTAGAAGGTAGTCTGTGGGGCGCATAACTACTGGTAGCTGACTTCACCACATTCCATGCGGCCTTGCATTGATTTTTGGCCGATTTTATTTTATTTACATTCGCTTCTTTTTTAGCCTCTATAATACGTAACTTATAGGCTCACTTTAGGTTAAGGTAGCTTTCTCTGTCCCTATCAGATTTAGACACTAAATACCTATCCTTCAAGGCAAGCATGTCACACTTAACCTTAGCTAGCTCTGGCGTAAACCAATCGCAACCATTGTTCAGCCTACCCTGACTGGTTTTTTTTGTTCTCGACATAGGCTTAGCTGACCTGACAGTGGAAGGGAAAAACACGTCAAAAACTGACCTTAACTTGACAAAAAATGTTTCAAAGCTGCATGAGTCACCATATTGAGTATCTGACCATGATATGTTACCAAGAGCTGCTCTAAATAAATCCATCTTATCTAAATCTATCTTTCTAACTATAAATGTATAATTAGCACGCCAAGAAATGGAGGGACTTACCCGTGTCTCAGAAGTGGACCACCTCATAAGTACTGCTGAGTGGTCTGCAACAAATGGCTCAACAACCGTACTGTTGTATTCCCAGGTGTTGAGGTTGACTGCGATGTTGTCCAGACAGGAGCTCTCTCTTGTGGGCTGGGATGTTGTAGGATAGAGACCATATGCCTTTAACAAGTTCAGTAGGACGGAACGCTCCGGAGTTTCACCAATGAAATTGACATTGAAGTCTCCCAATAAAATTTGCTTGGCGGCCTTCCCTTCCAAAAAGGCAAGGCAGTTGTCAAGTTGTTCACAAAAAGCCTTAAAGTTTCCACTTGGAGAGAAGTACACACAAATGACAATTACATCGAGACTTGGAACATGGATAGCCGCGAGTTCACAGTTAAAATCGGAGCAATATGCATCCACATTCAATACAATAAAATCCAATCTGGGGTCAACATATATAGCGGCTCCGCCACATTTAGCATTTTTCCTGCAATAGGCGCTTGCTAAGAAGAGGTTGGCTACTGAACTGTGAAAATCTACCTCATCCGGGACGAGCCAATGTTCACAACAGTTTCAATAGTTATTAGCATAAGTTAGTCCAGTTAAGAAATTGTACCCAAAAAGTTTTACATGCGTCTAAAACCATAGATTTCTAGCATTTTTAATGATTTTCAAACACGATTTTCAGGGTGAAATAGGCGTTTCCCCCAAAAGTGCCAATGGTAAAAAGTGCTTAAAATAGTCTAATTTAGGTAGGTAAGGCAAAAAAAGTTCAATATAACATAAGTAGTATAAGTTCAGTTTTACCGAACACTAAACCATTGACACTGAAGAGACAGAAAAGGAATTCCCGATCCAATTAAAGTGTGCTTCGTGTGTCCGACTTTGGTAGGTATCTCAAAAGAAGGTGTTATTTTTATTGCCGATCATCCGTGTATTATTTCTGTTACGTTTATTTAGTCATCTTAATTTCTTACAACTACCACTACACACTGTAGTCCATATATTTATTTTTGATATTGGACCACTTACTTATTTGTTACTGTTACAAGAAGAAGAAAGAAATCAAATTCTGCTGTATTCACCTATTTAATTTCCCTAAAAGGATTCGTTTTATAAACAGTGTACACAATATGGTCTGGAATAGTTTTTACGCTTTGTCATAGATTAACCCACAGAAGGGAGTATATTTAATCTATGGAGTTGTCATTCTCTTCCAACTAACTGTATTTTCATTCCTAAGCCTATGATTTGTTTTGTACACTTTGACTTGGGTTTTACGTTTACTTCATTGTCCATGTTAAACTCGTGCTGTAACGAAACTTGGTAGTACCAAGTTGGTACTGATAATAATAATTATTATTTGTGATAATAATCTGCACTTACGCTGAATGTTGAATGCCGGGGTTTTCTGCTTAGTATTGTATTTGGCATTTTGAATGTTAAAATTGTTTAATTCAATTGCTCAGTAAATTTTAGGGTAGCAAGTTCTGCAATATGGGAGACAATGTAAGTAATTTGAATGTGGTGTGTTAAATTCACAATGAACCCGTGGAATATAGGCTAAGTTTACTAAGTTTTAATAATTATTTTAGGTAAATCTAGAGAACATCCAACAAAGATTTTTACTCAAATAATCAAGTAGAGTGTGACTCAAACTGCAGTTTATTGTGTAATAGGTTATAATAAGCTCGATTCAAGTTATTCTCAATAGTACCTACCGATTTGCAAATAGGATCTAGAAATTCTTTTCTATGACTCTTAGAAAGTGTCAAAGCAATGAATATATCGTTACTTAAACTAATTCTGTTAAATAAATATTTTAAACAAGTAGGCTAATTGCACCATAGGCTATAATCCAATAAGGTATTTGTTTACTTTAGGGGCTTCTAACGAATTTGGAAAAAAATGTTTTTCTCTCATTATTTGGCCTATTTTGAACACTTTTTACATTTGGCATTTTTGGGGCAAACGCCTATTTCACCCTGAAAATCGCGTTTGAAAATTGCAAAAAGTGCTAAAAATGTGCGTAGTGTTTTTTCTCTTAATGCGTTTTTACTATTACTAAGGACCTACAGAACTAAATATAATCCAACCTAACCTAACCCAGCCCTACCTAACCAATGCTTAGGTTAGCAATATGCCGAAAATAGCGGATTATTAGTTAAACTAAGGTTAGGTTACGTTAGGTTAGGTTAGTTAAGGTTAGGTAAGGTATGGCTAGTTATTAAGTTATTACTGAAATCAATTAGCCTAAAATCACCTGAATATTTTAAATCTAACTTAACCTAACCTAACTTAACCTTACGTAAACTAACCTAACCATATTTAAACTTACTTAACCTAACCTAACTTAACCTAACCTAACCCAATCCTACCTAACCAATGCTTAGGTTAGCAATATGCCGAAAATAGCGGATTTTTAGTTAAACCAAGGTTAGGTTAGGTTAGTTTAGGTTACAGTAGAGTCCCGCAAACTCGGCGTAATGTGGACTGGAAGGGTGCCGAGTTTGTGAAATGCCGGGTTATCGGGAACTAGGGTTAAAAATAAGAACAGTAAATTTTTTAAGCCTTTTACCTGCCTTCTTTATTTATATTTATAATACAAGTCAGTATTAAGTCATCAGATATAGTACAACAAATCCTTTTTACGAGTTGCGAATGATTTGACTTGAGCTGGCTTGAGTCCATGTTGAATTCGGACTCAAAAAATCACTAATTTTCTGAGCCAGGTGATGGCCAAGTTATCCAGACTGCCGGGTTATCGAGTGCCGAGTTTGCAGGACTCTACTGTAGTTTAAATATACATCTGCTTATTACTACAATAATAAAAACACATTTAAAAGAAAGGCAAGGGGGGGAAAACCAGATTTTCTAAGTAAAAATGGCAATTGCTGAAAAATTTTTGCGATTTTCAAACGCGATTTTCAGTGTGAAATAGGCGTTTGCCCCAAAAGTGTCAAATGTAAAAATTGTTCAAAATAGGCCAAATAATGAGAAAAAAACATTTTTTTCAAAATTCGTTAGAAGCCCCTAAAGTAAACAAATACCCTTACCTTTCTTGTAGATAGGTCATTATCTTGTGTGGTCATGATTTAATATGATTAGGGGCCAGATTTAGACCTACCTAATTGGCATGAATTCTGGTAAGGTAGGTAACATAAACTTGTCCAGGCAACACTCTGAAACATACACTCTTTATGGTATGTCTTCCCTTATATGCTTCCACAGTTTTACATCTAAAGTAATGATTACTTTTAAGTAATCAATAACTACCGGACGCGTAAGTTATCTTCTGTGAATTTTTTATTTTTTTACATAGGCTAATCTAATTTTTTCCCCAGAAGTGAGGATCCAGGTCGGAAATAGTGTTTTGACCGTTTTTTTTTTTCTTAATTAAAATTACATCCGAAATCGGCGGTCACTGGTATCCGGGCCGGCGCAATTAAGTTTGTAGATACTGTGACGAAAATACTCCACTTTTGGTCTCATAAACACTGTTTTTCACACTAAAAATGTCGATTACTTAGCAGGAACGGTGGGCAGAACACTTCTAGTAGCAACTCGCTCACAATCACTCAGGTTCTTTCAAGGTTGCGCCACACTGACTAATTCATTTCAGTGGGACCTGGCCAGGTCTTTGTTCACCGGCCTACACTCAATCGTGTTAATTTAGGCTATAAACCTGAGTCCTGCTCATTGGAGTTTTCTAGTAGGTAGCCTAAAAAAATTGATGTGATTCAATAATAAACTTTACTTAAAGTCCGATTTAACCGTAATAATCACCAGTCTAGGCTTCAAAAATGACAGTGATAGCCTATTGGCCTGGGTATTCCTATGTTCATTTTTCTCGGTATACTTATTTCAAGGAATTTATTACATTTTGTCTGACCCTATTTTACTTAACATCTACTGGTTGAAACTATTCTGGTTGGTACCTTAGTGGGCCTATTAACATCTAAGTTATGAAAAAAGGCTATTTTCATATTGCATCAGATATCTTACATTTAACTTGACCATCAAGAGCACCTATATCTTTAAAAACATATTGAAAGCAACCTTCCATTAAATTGTACTGTAATTTGTAATGTTCTTTTGTAGTGCTCTGTTGACTGGATTGATTCATTAGACAGGCAAGCACTGCTCAGACAGTTAAGCAGAAATAATCTCCCTACCAATGGATCTGTTGAACTCCTAAAGTCACGCTTAAAGAGTTTCATGGAAAAAAGAAAATTAGCATCATTTGACAATTCCTACAACAATGTGAAGACTTTGTTTCCGTACTATGTCGTTTTGGATTTTGAAGCAACATGTAATGAAGTAAACCCACCTGAGTTTGAGTAAGTATTTTCTTGACTACTTACTTTTGGTTTTAAATTAACTTTTCCTGTAGTTAAGTTACGTTAAGTCTAATTAATTACCGTTATTTTACTGAGTTTAGGCTTTCACTCATGATAAATAACTTAGTCAATATAAACATAAAATGATAACATCCGAAAACTAAATTGGGTAGGCTAATAGTATTTAAATTAATGCCACAAATTAATGTGGTACAAAATTAATGTCGTCTGGTATCATTTCATTCATAAGAAAACTTGGAAAGTCATACAAACGTATGATAACATAACTGCCGCAGTGCGCTGTAGCTGTAAAATAAGTGGCCTCCGTATAATACCAAAGTACCGTTTATAGTTTGAGCATGATAGTAGCTCAGCAAGCTTCACACAGAATGTGAGTACCGTAAAACATTTTCAAAAGATGTGCACGGTACTTGTCACAAATAATCAAGATTTAAGTTATACACAATCTATCTAGGTACAGTTACATGACTTGTACAATAGGTTATTTTAAAACAACATTTTAGCATGTTTTTCAACTTTTTTTTAAAAGGTAACATTTAAAAATCTTTCCAATTATTTTGTGATACCCGTAGTGCAATAATATGTGTCTGATCATAAATGTGTAAAATTAATTGTAGCTTCGATCAGATATTAGAGCCTATAACTGAAGAAACTCGTATAGGCCTAGTGACTTTTTGAAAGAGTGTCAGAGTGTAGGCCTATATATTTAAAAAAATTGACCACACTACTCCAGCTGAATTTTACTAAAACCTTTCTGTAAACAATTATTTTCTGGTATACAAAGAGTACAGAAACCAACTAGCCTATGTAGTGTGGCGATATAAAAATTAAAAGTCATACTTTAGTTTAGTTAACTCTCCGTTGTTTCAGACACGAAATCATAGAGTTTCCAGCTGTATTAGTAGACACTGAGAAACTGTCCATCGTCGACCATTTTCAAGCTTTTGTCAAGCCTGTTTTAAATCCAATACTAACTCCATTCTGCAAAAAACTCACAGGAATTCAACAGGTTAGTACTAATATATGTTAATTAGATGAGTTTTAAAAAATGTGAAGAAACTATCTAATTAGCCTAATCAAAATGAACATTTTTGGAACAGTATTTTATCTAGTAATTTCAACAACTCATCTCAAAACAAAAGGTAAATAATAACAATAAATAATCAGTTCATCTGGTCTTTTAAACATAAAACATATGGTTAATTAATAACACCACATCTCTCTTTGTCACACATCTTCTTTTAATCATATCGTTTCCTGTTGTCAAAATTCCTCTTCATTCTCTCTTTTATGCGTTTGTCGTTTTGTTGAAAACCAATCAAATCATTGGTATTGACCTTTTCAAAATCTTTCAATGATGGAAGATTTGACCTCAATTTCTCCCATAAAGCAGCTCTGCTGGAGACAGTTCCGATTCTAACTTTGTTGTGCGGTAAACTAATAACCCTAGATTTGGATCTTTATTTTTCAACAATATTCTTTTAGCTATTGACACTGCGTTCTCAGCACCACCGTTTGCCTGAGGAAAGTACGGACTGGTGGTAGTTGCTTCAAACCCATACTCTTTTGCAAAATCCTTGAACTCTTGTGATGTGAATTGAGTTCCGCCATCAGTCCGAATCTTGTATGGAATTCCATGTCTTGCAAAAATGTTCTTTAACTTTCCTACAACCAAATTGGAGGACAGAACACTGAGTTCAACTAATTCAATAAATCTTGAATAATAGTCTTGAACCACCAAGAACCACTTTCTATTACACATAAATAGATCTGCGGAAAGATAGACCCAAGGACCTTTTGGTAGTTCTGTGGGCATCAAAGGCTCTTTGTTCACTTGACGGTGTTCAAGACACACAAGACAGTTTTCTACTTCAGACTTGACATCTCTCGAACAGCCCGGCCACCAGACGGATTCTTTTGCTCTTGAACGACATTTCACTATACCTAAATGGCCTTCGTGAATTTTGCTTAAAATTTCTTTCCGTAAGCTTCTAGGTATGAACATTCGTCTTCCTTTTACTATCAAAACATCTTCCAAAACAAGTTCATCTTTATATTTCCAAAATATTGAGTTCTTACGCCAATTATTCTCCAAAATTGACGACAAGATTTCTCGACTCTCGGGATCATTACCTTGAGCTTGTTTAATTTCTTCTAGCCGTTTATCTGAACACGGGAAAGTTTCTACAATGCTCCTGATGAATAGCGCATCGTCTATAGTCAGTTCATAGATTCTGTCTTTGACGAAGTCTTCTTTGATGTTTCCAGGATTTCGAGATAAACAATCTGCCGTGAAGTTTTCTTTCCCAGGTAGGTAAGTTGTCTTATAATCGAAGACTAAAAGCCTCATTCTAAATCTTTGAAGTCTAGACGAAAGCTCTGAAATAGGCTTTGACCCTAGAATTTCTACTAATGGTTTGTGGTCTGTGTACACTTGAAATTGCTTTCCCAAAATATACATTGAAAACTTTTCACATGCCCAAGTCACGCCTAATGCTTCCTTTTATATTTGCGCATAGCGTGTTTCAACATCAGTCAAACTTCTGGATGCATATGCTACTGGTCTCCACATCTCACCGTGCAGCTGCTCCATTACCGCCCCAATACCATATGAAGATGCATCTGCAGTAATTCTAGTCTCAGCATTACTTTTGTAAGGAGCCAACACTGGGGATTTTGTCACTGCATCTTTTAACAATTTATTCCCCCCATACCCACAAACTTTGTTTCTTCAATAGACAGCGTAAAGGTGCTGTCATTTCTACTAGGTTTGGTACAAATTTCATTAGTTGATTCACCATTCCTAAAAACTGTCTCAGCTCTGAAACACAAGTTGGCTCCTTCAAAGAAGAAATTGCCTTAATCTTTTCTGGATCTGGGCTTATACCATCTTGAGTAATTAAATGCCCAAGGAATGTTACACTTCTGAGGCCAAATAAACACTTGTTTTTATTAAGAGTCACTCCGTGTTCTGTCAATCTTTAAATCACAAGCTTTACTCTAGTATTGTGTTCCTCTTCTGTATTCCCTACAACCAATATGTCGTCAGCCTGGTTAATCACTCCTGGAATGTCTGCTAATATCTGACTTATCCTCTTTTGGAATACCTCTGGGCCAGAACAAATTCCAAATGGTAGCCTTTTGAAATAATATCTTCCAAATGGAGTTATGAAAGTTGTTAACTTGTATGAACTTTCGTCAAGAGGTATTTGCCAAAATCCATTAGCTGCGTCCAGTTTACTGAAATATTTATTATAAGGTTGAGCGTTTTCTTGTAGTTTAATCTTGTATGTACTGTTTAGACTGCCCATCCCATTGAAAACCTTTGGGCATAACTGTTCAACTTCATCTTTATCAATTAAATTGACATTAAAGGTTATCAGACCTAAACTAAGTAGTGCATTTCAGCTTAGCAACGGAGAATTTTGTTTACCTAGCACGTACAAATCTTCTGATAGTTCTCGGTCATTGTATTTGAGAAGAACCTTAGCTACACCCAGAATGTTGAGCCTATTTTTGCCTGGTCCATACAATACACGATCACAACCTTGTAATTGGAGACCGAGGGATCGAGCCTGATGTTCTCCAATGACTGATACATCGGCCCCTGTATCCATTTTAAACCAAACTTTATGTTCATTGATTTCTATTTCAACTACAGGGCATTCTTTGCCGTACTTCATTACCTGAATTTCACCCAAACAAAAATTTGAAGTGTCATTTCCGTTGTTGTCCTCAACTTCCCGTATTGTTTTCTGTCCTTGTTTTATACAACACTTAGCAAAATGTCCCTTCTCACCACATCTAAAACACTCAACTTTATATGCTGGGCACTCCCTATACTTATGATATAGGTTACATTTGTTACATCTCAACTTGTTTCTGAAAGAGCCTACTTTACTGCTAATGGCTCCTACTACCTCATCTTGACTAGGCCTAATTGAATTTGATATGTCGCCTACTCGATCTCTTACTACTTTTTGCTGTTTCAAAATAGACTCGGATTGCCGAACTTGGTTGATAGCCTTCCTTAAAGTTAGTGAATTGTCCTTTTGTAGAATCTCTGAAAGTTTTGGATTATTGACTCCAATTACAATCAAATCACGTATCAGCTCTTCCTTTAAATTTCCGAATTCACACGTTTCAGCTAATTTATGAAGGTAATTTATAAAAGAATCTACTGTTTCATCGGCCCCTTGTCTTCTCTTAAGAAACTTGGCACGTTCATATACAATGTTACATTTGACTTTTAAGAAATCACTGAAACTTTTAACAACTTCTTCATACTGAAGATTATTCTCATCAAAAATACCAAAAGTACGGAAAAGATCCTCACCTTTGTCGCCTAGAGTATACAAGAGCATACTAATTTGTTGACTGTCAGGCTTGAAGCAAAGCTCTGAAGCAATCCTGTACCTCTCAAACCTTTTCATCCAACGAGGCCATAAGGCCGGATTTTGAAAATCAAAAGCTTCTGGTGGAGAAATTTGAGTCTGCATACCTGAAACTGTAGTAACCCTCGAAGCTTCAGTTGAGGTTTTATCTCTTACACCGTTCTTTGAACAAATCTGATTCCTAGGCTTGGACTCATCTTCACTTGATTCAAGATCAAATTCCTTTTGTAAGTAATCTCTCTTCTTCAAATTTCTTTAAGATGTTCTTTTATTTCGGCTTCCCATATTTCTTTCAACCTGACACCATAAGAAGAAACTATCTAATTAATCAAAATGAACATTTTTGGAACAGTATTTTATCTAGTAATTTCAACAACTCATCTCAAAACAAAAGGTAAATAATAACAATAAATAATCAGTTCATCTGGTCTTTTAAACATAAAACATATGGTTAATTAATAACACCACAAAAAAGACGAAAAACACAAAATAAAAAATCCATTAGCCCTATTGCCATTTATGTCCTGCAAACATTGATCATTGATTTTTTTGCGACGATGTAATTACTACCATCAATGGTTGACCTCATCCCTAGTTGGCCAAAGACCGCCTAACAATAAAAAGTTATTTGATCCTGAGAATAGTCAGTAGCTTTTAGATAGTTCAAAACTTAACCTAGTTGTCCTTAATTATCAAACTTGATCCTATGATTTCATGATCAAATTGATACTGGCTAAAGTGATAGGCTGACACAGCCCATCAACTTAATCCTACATTTAGGCTACTCTGCATTTATTCAGCAAAAGTTTGTACACAAAATATATGTTTTCCTACAGTTACCAAACAATGTACATGTTCTCTCACTGATTTGAGAAAGCAAAGTGGCCAATTCGCTCATCAGTGATACAATGTGAACATTGTCTCACTCTAATTACTTTGTCTCACTCCAGATTAGCAACGTGAAGGCACGAAATAGTGAGCGCGTAACATGCAGGCAACTGCGTATGCGCGCGAAATACGTTGGCAGCACTGGCTGTAAATCAGCTGGTCAGCTGTTGTACTGTTGTATTTGTCACTTCACGTTAAATGTTATATTAAAAGTTCACTTCTGTGTAAACATAGGTTATGTTTCTTCACCAATTTATTTGTTTTAGGGTAACTGTAGGAAAAGTATAATGTGCAACTCGAGTTCAAAGTACAATTGCCTCACTCGAGAAACAATTCCTCACTCGCCTACGGCTCGTGAGTAAGGATTTCTCTCGAGTGAGTCAATTGCTCACTTTTCTCACTAGTTGCACAAATAACTATTTAGTGTTATGATGAGTAGTTTTCATCACAGAAAATATTATTGGCATATTTTTACGCAGGAACAAGTGGACACTGCAGCGGAGTTTCCGGAAGTGTTGGCACAGTTTGAACAGTGGCTCAGCAAAAATAAACTTGGCACAAAAAACAAATTTGCAATGGTGACAGACGGGCCGTGTGACATGGGCCGCTTCTTGTTTGGACAATGTGATGTGAGTATAGTTACTGGTTAGTGGTTACTGCCATAAAATATTGTATGTAGGTTGTGTGAATTAAAGTGTTAAAGTGGATGTGCATGATTACAAGAACCCACAACCGTCGCTTATATTAGTTTGTTCAGTCATCTCAATAACGAATTGCCGTAGATTAATTTAATACCAGTGTCCATTGGTGTCACTCTCAGTGCCTTTTCCTCTTTCACCATCCTTAGCGATACAATCTATACTACTACTATTTGTCTACTACTCAGTTCACAAAATTGACTATTCAGGCGGTTTGAGAGGAAGCGATTTCATCCTCTCCATTTCACCCTAACTTTGAAACAACAGCTGGCAGTTGATAAGTTGATGTAATTAAGCTAAAAATAGTGGGGGAAACCCAGGAAACCTTCCTTTTAAACCGCCTAAATATTGTTAACAGAAATATTGTAGTGTCAAGTTAAGTTGTGTATTTTGGGGATAGCACATGTATTTTGTGCACTTAGATGTAATGTGTGTCCAGTTTTTTGTTTTAGTCTTAACTTGTTGCATTTTAAATAGGCTACTACCTCCCTTTTTTCACAACACAACCTAATATTTTTCTAACGATACAATTTTTATGTTTTCAGATATCTAATATTGACTATCCAAACTTTGGGAAGACGTGGGTCAATCTAAAAAAATGTTTTTCACAATTCTACAAATGCGACAGAGTGAGTAAAATAGTTTAGTGACGCTATTAAATATTTTGAGTCTTTCACAGCTATTTATTTGAATTTAATAATTATCAAAAACTTCCGCCGCGGTAGTCTGAAAAAAATGCTCACCAGGTGGTCGTAGTGGTCGTACGTGCCTGCGGTAGTGCTGTGTAACTTGTCCCATTTTTTTACATGGTGAGCAATTTTTTGTAAATTTTGCGTCCGCCATGGGAGCGAGCTCAATGTAGCATGGCTTTAGGTAGTGTCTAGTACCTTCGCTGGTGTCTAGGGCAAAGTACAACACCAATCCCCTCAACCTCATGCGTTACTACGCTCACAGTGGAGGGAGACTCTATGCTATGGAAATTTCCTGCACAGTGCTCACTGCTTGGGCTCTTAGGCCCCGTTTATGCACCAAGTGCGGGAGCGGTGCGATAGCGGGCCCGCTCCCGCTGTAAATGAGTCTGTTTATGCACGAAGAGCGATAGCGGTAGCGGTTGGTTAAAGGAGAATGGAAGGGGGACACAGTCTTGCCAACTCAAACTCTGCCAAATAATTCACACAACTATTTGTCCTAAGTGCACGTGCGCGTGGGTCAAGTTGGCAACCCTGGCTTCAGCCCAAGCAACCGCTGCGATTCCTAACTACACAGCGGGCGAATTAGAAATCGCAGCGGGAGGTCAACCGCTATCGCTATCGCTCTTGGTGCATAAACAGCCCCATTTAACTCAATGGTGTTAGAAATCGCTCCCGCTGTCGCTACCGCTACCGCACTTGGTGCATAAACGGGGCCTTACTCGCTTGTCATAAGTATATTTCCGGCACAAAATACTATATCTGAAAGCACACGGTCGTCTCCTATGTGTTTCCTCTATACACATCTGTGGCTAAAGATAAACCAAGCACATTTTGTATTTTCCTGCTCTCTGGACAACTTTTAAGTTTTCAATAGAAATCACTTCCCTAAACATTGAAAGTAAGTAAGTTGTGGTTTAATTTGTCAACCTAGTTTTTTTACATTTATCTCAATAATTTAAAGCTACAACCTATTGGCTCTTTCAATGGTTTTTTGTAAACGTTAACGATATTTGACTTTCTAAATTTGGTTTGTATATATTGATGGTACTTACGTTAAAGCAATATTGTATATTCCAGGTACTTCCGCATAAAATTAAACAAAAGAAGTTTAAGGTGAGGATTTGTATGAAGTTTTAGCTTTAACTTTTACTGAATTGTAATTTAATTTACTGAAACTATTACTATACTCCGTTCACAAACTTAAGGCGGTTTAGGGGGAAGAAATCTATCCCCTCCACTTTTTTCTACCTTTAAAACAATAACTCAACAGTTGAGGCTCATCAAAACGTCAATCAGCTGCAATATAATACATTTTGTGAAAAATAGCGGCAGGGGAACTTCCTTTAAGCCGCCTACATTTTTTGAACGGATTATCGTACAAATACACATTTAATTTCTTTTTCTACGAAAACAACAGTTTCTTGTAAAACTTATTTCCGAATAAGAATTCTTTTCAGCAGGTTTATCTGAATGGGTGTAAATCCATACACAAGAAACACAATGACTTTACACTGTACAAACATTATTGTAGTAGTATTTGATTAGATTGAAGTATTTGACTGACACTAACAAAATTTTCAACCGAGATATGTTTGAGTTTGAAACCTCAATGTTTTGTTAAACAATGTGTGTTATCTGTGACCTTTGATATCGTATCCTCACCAATTTTAGAATTAATAAAAATAGACAGAGTTGAATGGAATCACCGACAAGAATGTGCTGAAGTAAATTACTGATTTATTATTATAATAAACAGTTTCCTTGTTCAATATCCTTTGGTGTTGTTGGATGATGACCGGTTTCGCGACGACATTCACATCATTGGGTCAATCCTCGTAGAGCGATTTGTTATAATAAATACATAAAGTTTTTACCGAACACAAAACAAAAACAAATTATATTTACAAAGTATTTACAGACAGAAACCATCACGATGCGTGCACGCTTATGGCGAGCCAGCCGCGTCTTCATTTAACAACACCAAAGGATATTGAACAAGGTAACTGTTTATTTTATTATTAAAATCTTCAATATCCAGTAGTAGGAAAATGAACTCTACTGATTTATGTAAAATATGCCAATGTGTCAACCTAGTCAAACTGGGACGACAGCTTGTTGTAAGCTGGAGCATCCTTTATATCATATGAATACTAGTACAAAAACAAATCCAGAAATAAAATGTTAGACTGTAACACACTCTGTGGCGCCTTCAACTATGTTCATTTTGGTAAACAAATTGGCTACAGCTGGACCATTTAACAAGTTCAGTGCAGACGAGACTATAGATGTAGTCACGCCACTCCCACTACATTAGTTCAGTATGAGCTCAGCCATTGCTGGGTAACGTTATAATCGTTGCCAGCCTGTAGCTTAGAATGCGAGCTTTATTTTGGTGTAGGTTGGTACTAAAATTTCCCGTAAAATTCCATCTGGCAACGCTTTTGTCCCAGTTTCGGGGATTTTCTCTCTTCGAGCCACATTACAGAGACACTGGCTACAGATCAGATCCAGGCAGTGCTGCTACCTTTGGGTGTTTCAGTGAACTACGTCCACTCTCGGGGTACCGCACCATAATCACCATTATTATTTGTTATTCGTCAGACTGAATTATTTGAATGCTAATTGCGTTCGCTAATTCGGTGGTGCGCCGGGGCTTCGCCCGGGCCTCGCCACCATTTGGAGAAGCCTGTTTGAATGTATGCCGCACTGAACGTGCTAAATGGTAATGATGAGATGTCTACTTCAGTATCCAACAGTCAGGGGTATTCTAATGCAGCTAATTGTGTATTGTGTATTATCATAGACAAATAGAATAAATATAGACTGTCAAAAGAAGGTTCTGTGATGTGCCGCTAGAGCATGCTCAGTGTTCGTCGAATTGCTGCCCTCGTTGACTCACCCTCTTCTACCAACACTACCACCATTGTAATCGAAATGTTACCAACATATCATATCCAATTTTCAATGTGGGTAACGTACAACATTCTGAAATCCGGTAATTTTAACTAAAAAGCTTTTTTTCTTTTAATCCACGTAAATTTTTAAAATTCGGAATAATTACAGAATAAACTCCTACCCCCTAGACTCCGGGGAATTCTCCAGAAGTTAGCAGCCCTGGCTCCAACAACCAACTTGTCATGGCAACGCTCGCTAGCGCTTGACGCTGCAGCGGTGTGTGCCGAAACTACACGGCACTCCTAGCGTTGGACGCCAGAATACATGCTAACCGCAGCACTGCTGTTGGTCTATATTTAATTCTTTTGTCTATGGTATAATATTATTATTGTTATATTTAGCATCACTTAATCGTTTTGAATTACACTTAACGATTACAATTTAGTTCACACTCTTTTAAATGCATACTTGATTTCTCTGTTTGTGTTGCAGCTAAGACTACAGCTGATGCTGGAGAAGCTAGGTATGGAGTTTGAAGGGCATCCCCACTGTGGTCTGGACGATGCCACCAACATCGCACACATCCTCATACGTATGATACAGGACGGAGCGTCCGTTGACATCAATGAGAGGATACAGCTGAGGCACAAACTCACTCCGAAGAGTAATGTAGAGAATCAAGCCAGTTCTTCCAATAAGGTGAAAACATATGAAACCATTAGATAAGCTGCGTTTACACAAGGCCAGTAGAACCGGGAGGTTGCAGGGTAGGTTACCTGACTTTTGTATTGTGAGTTACCTGGGCCAGGTAATCTGTCCGCCAACTGGCTTCGTGTAAACACGGCTATACTGTAACATTTAACATTTATTGTATATGTATATATATGTAACATTAACGGCGTCCCCATCTTAAATAATTGATAATTGATAATTGATAATTTAATTTTCTAAACACTCTTTATGAGTTAAAAAATATCCCCGCTGCAGCAATCCTGCAGACTAAGCAAATTTCCATTTGCCTAGTTGGGTTTTCATTCAAATATTAAATTTCCTTAAAATTGTTAAATTCATTCCCTATTTAAATAGCATTAAGTTTAATGCCTACTAAGGTTTGCTTAAGCAGGAAATGTTCTTATAAACATTTTAATAGCTTACTACAAAATATAAAATATTGCTATCATTTTTCCTTGAGTACACTTTTTTTAACATCATATACAGTGTCCATTTTGATTTTGAGTATTTTACTTCAAATGTAACTAACACATTGCTGTCATAAATACAGGGTGTCTACTAAATCCTACTTAAAAATTTATGGAGTTTTCTTGGAGAATTCAAGACAAACTCCTGCTTTTTACACCACTTTCATATTTAGTAAACACTTTTAAAAGAGTTTTTAAGGAAATCGTTTTTATCATGTAATGCATTTAACTGCAGTATTTTTACAATCCCGGGTTTCCCAGAAATACCAGAGAGTAGACACCATGTAATATGATGTCATACAAACCTTTTCTGAGAAAAATGTAAATCCTTGATTTAACTGTTTGACTAATATATCTTGTTTTCTAGCCTGCCTGGCCAGTGAGACCTGTACATAACAACGCCTACTCCAGGACATACTCACAAGCTTTTAAAGACAAACAGGCTGCTGCAGAGAAAGAGAAACAACCGACAAATCACCATCAATAGTGAAACCTCACAAAGCCTCACAAAGCTCTTATCGTCACCTTCATAAACAAAGCGCCCGCCGAGCAACTTTACTTGTTAGGGAACAAATAATATGTTTGTTTGTAATATATTGTTTGTTATATAGTATTTAACAACCTGTATTATTAGTTGTATTATTAACAGTTATACCCCCATTAAATATATATATTGTAATTTCTAAAGTACTTTTTTGTCAGTAGACCATAACTTCCTCATCTCTTCACCAATTTTAATAAATGAGGTGTCACTTTTAAAGCTTTTTTACTTACTACCCGGGGAGGGAAAATATACAAATCACTAATTGTTCAGTAGTTTTTCGTAAAAACTATCAAAAACCAAATGTAAAAACTAATTGTAACTAAGTGTAAAAACTATGGATATTATCATTCTGCAAGTAATTTAAACTTGAAAAGTTTATTCACGTTACTCGTTTAGCTGAAACATGTGATTTAAATTAATCAAAACAAATTATTATTTTTCTCAAATCTGAGTTTTTTGTTTTTACTTCATCGATGGTGACCAACATACTTATTCTGTGCTTTCTACGATAAATAACTCCGTAGATAAAACCAGATTATTCACATTAAAGAAGTCTATAAACAAGAAAAAGTCAAAAGGAAGTACAGCGCATGGATTATTTAGTTTTTGAGTGAAAATTTAAAAACGTACGTTTTCATGTCCCTGGCCTTTTACTTCGTAGATACTTGATTTGTAGTTTATTATTATGTGTTTTAATATTTTTTGGGACGGGGGCAACACGTTACACACATTTATTTGGTTTTAAATAGGTTCTAGGTATTTTTTTCGTATTTTTAAAGTCTCAAAATTCACGACCATGACGTGTCCCTAGGGTACATTTTCCAACTTTCACGCTGTTTTTAGACTAATTATTCATGCCGAAATATATAAAGCCATATTTTTATGTCATCAATGGTTATTAAACTTACAAAAAAGGAGCATATTATAATTTTATTGTCATTGCAAACTGACTACCATGACAAAATAAGTCTGTCCCTCGATTTGGCGTCACGACCATTTGGGAAAAATGTTCAACTTTGGAGCCCGACAGTGGCAAGCCTGGCGTCGATGGAGTCAGTTGGTTTGAGAGACTAGTTCGGGGTGTACGTCAGGATTGTAGTGCCGGTCGTTTCGAGTTGAAAGGAGGAATTACAAGATTAATAAAGGAAAGATTGTGTTTTTTGTAATTTTGGTGTGTCCATGACCGTACGTAGTCATTCGATGAAGTAGACATGGTGTTAATTTTTGTTTATAAGATATTTCAATTGCTAGATTAACCTAGAAGTCCACTTTGTATCCTCGAACATGAGGTGCAGGGCTACCGCCAGAACAGAGCCAAATAACACGTAATTTCACGACCAAAGTTTCACGACCATCGCGGGTTTTTTCACGACCAATCCAGCCTTATGGATTATAGTGTGTTTGGTCGTGACAATAACTTTAATATAATTGTGAATTGAACAGTTTAGTTCAATTGAAACACATATTTTTATTATAACTAACAGTATAATTGAAGGATTGCCTAGAAAGATTTAAATTATCCCAGACAATTCACGACCGTACCGCTTGTCCCTGACCATCACGTTTATGATTTCTATCATAACAATTTCAAAAATTAAAATATCGTCATATTTCAATGTTTTATACACAAAAGAAGCACACCTCTATACAAACATAACGATTTTTCGGGTCTCAGGTAAGTTCTTTCGTAGTTATACAAACTTAAAAAGATTTTATTGGCTTTATTTCAATTTTTTGAGTTTTTTTATTTTTTTCTGGAAAGACCAAATATACTAAAAGTTTAGTGACCTTTTTATTGTATAATGGTCATAAAAGTAAATTAGTTTATAGCAAAACATAGTTATAAAAATAATATTAACCATTTTTAATATTCATTTAAACGTCCGTTATGGTCGTGACAGGATTTTGTGTTTTTCCACTAAAGATGCTCTTTTAAAAAGAAACTACCAAAGATATTGCGTTACCATGGACATTTTATGAAACTTCAAATGTTAATGAAATAAAAATAATAATAAAAGTTTTGAAAAAAGGGGAAAAAAATTTGCAAAGTGCTTTTTCTGAAAACGTACGTTTTTAAATTTTCACTCTTTTATAGGTATTTCTTCACTTACGGCATGACCTTCATTTTGATATACCTACTAACCGTTCTACATTTAAGAATTCCATCTTCAAATATCACCTCTTATCTTTAATTTCCCACAGGTTTTGATGAATGATTATGTTGTGTTGATTTTGTTACCGACAAGAATCGTCAGTTTTGATTCGGTTCTTTACCAAGGAACGTAGAACGCTCTGTTGTGTGTGTCTTACTACGCAATAGTCCGTAGTCCTTTCAGACTAAGAATTAATTTCCTTTAAAAGTTACCTTTTCTACGACTTTAAGTTAGGCACATGGACACTAGCAACGAAAGGAAGGATTGCACGTGTCAGACTCTATTTTACACATTCAGTTTTTGTGGCTTTGTCAAAGGTTTTTTTCAGTAAAAGCTATGTCTGTGTGTAAAAACAAAACCATCAAAACAGAAATCATTTATGGCCATGTTACTTTGAACATAGAGTTCAAATAGGTTATGTAAACATGTAAAAACGTAAAACACTCATTTTTTTATTTTGAAAAGGTTAATTATCTCAAATGTAGACCCACATCTATTCCTGAAGTAAGGACCCATTCAACGATGCACTTAATTACTAAACGCAGAATTAACTATGTTGTGTACATCAATAAGTGGGATTTTAGAAGGATTCAGTGCGAATGCTTCGCACGGGTTTGCCAGTCTGTATTAACAGTTAATTACATACTTTTGGTACTCCAATTTTAATAGTTATTCACTAAAGAGAGAATGCATGTTAATTCATACTGAACTGTCATGAGACTAATATTTACTAATTGTTGCAAAAATAGTTTTACAATAGCTACAATACAAATGGAATGCAGGTAATGAAAACAGAACTGATTATTGAAGTACAATTCATACAAGTTTTATTGTATAAAGACACAATAGTCGTTTAAAAAAAAATTGAAAGATATAAAATCTTGTGTTGAATGTCGTCCCGTCAAAAAAAGTAGGTTGCCGCAAAAAACCGAAAGATCATACAAATATACCTGATTTGATTAAATTACTTTACTCCAAAATACAATTGTGCTAGTTAAGTTTTTCTGCTGTTCTAGTTTATAAAAACTGGTCGATGTCACAATATGAACTGCAGAAGAACCAAGATTGGTTAATTTATTATATTTTTTTTCAATAAATTGACATTGTAAATAATGCTTTTTCTGACATAAAAGTTGCATAATTAATTGTTATTATGCATTCACTAACTTGTGTTGGCGCCTTAGACAGAGGTGGATTCAAATTCAATTTTATTTATATGATTTTCACCTATTGTTTGATGATGATTAACATCTTTCAAATGATTCTGTAGACGGAATGAAATTAATATATGAATTTCCCATAAAAGTGATTATGAAAACTCAATTACCTGGCAGTCGCAAGAATATTTAAACATGTCACCAACAAAGCATATAATGCAGGTGAGACACGCAAAATATAAAATTAATAAATTTGTTATGCATAACCATGCACTTGTAAATTTTGATTTTTTTCGTGTATGGTTAGGTTAGGTTTGTTATGTTGGTTTAGATTAGATGGGGCAATGCTGAAAGAGGAATCGATGGTCTAAAAATCCTTTAATAGTACTTATATTCTCAGTATTATTGGACCTATGAAGACTGCTCTCTAAAACATACCCTAGTCTTATTTAGGACGCATGTTCCTAACTGCCAACCCCTTAATTTAATGGTTGTAAGCTTGTTCTTGTGATAAAATTCTGGAAAATTATGCTGATTTTGATTCAGGCAAGAAGTATGACCTGATACAGTAGACCCCCTCTTAACCGACCTCGTATTAACCGATAATCGGATTATCCGCCTTCGATCGTAAAATAATACAGTTTGTTTTAACCGACCTTGCTTTGAGAGCAGTTCGGTTTAACCGCCGCTTTCTAGGAATCTCGGCATTTCCGCTCCCACGCTGGGCGATGTGAACTGAACCATACGCTTATCTCCACAGTATATGACTAAGAATTTAAGTTGTTTTGTATTGATCACAAAAAATATAGCCTAGCCTATTGTCAGTTTGTCATCATCCTTCGTAGCTCGAGCGGACATCTGATCTGATTCGTTATCTGTGTGGCAAATTTATAACATCATAAAGTGCGATACGATTTTGAGAACTGATTATCTTATCACTGGAGTAAACAAACAATGCAACTTGTAGGGAGGGCAGGGAAGGGGGGTTAACAACTCCAAGGTCAAGATAGTTTTTGTGTCTGAGCCTCCAGTAAGAGGCTAAAAATAAACATCCTGTCTTGTAACAAAATGGTTGCTTGTATCTTTAATTTCAACAAAAGGTTGTGCACTGTATTACAATGGATTTGGAAAGCATCAATTAATACATAACAGTACTAAAGTTATTAAAATAGGAATTTTATTGACTGTTGCCTAGTATCATAATATATTCCACTGAAAGTAGGCCTATTTGACTTAACCACGTTTTGTGTTCATTTGTGACTTTTCTATCAATACGAAAAAGGAGATAAGAGTAGTTCATTTTATAAATAATGCAAGTATGACTTCAAAATAATGATTATATAATTACAAATGAATAGCACTTCATTATGTTATGATTTTAGGGATTGCCCGTTTTAACCGACCTTTTGAGTTATCCGCCTTAGGTCCGGTCCCATTAGGGTCGGTTAAGAGGGGGTCTACTGTACAGTGAAGATTTAGGTACTTGTCTTAGTCACACTCAAAAAGGTTGCGTATCCATAACGCCTTAAAATTGCAAAGAGCCTGAATTTGCCTTTTTGTACTGATAGACTCAGAAGTTACTAGTTTCCAAAAGAAATTGGACCTTGAAATAATTCTTACTATGATATTGTTC